GAGAGAGAGAGAGAGAGAGAGAGAGAGAGAGAGAGAGAGAGAGAGAGAGAGAGAGAGAGAGAGAGATGCGTACTGTTCGAAGTACATGCATGCGTACTATTCAGATTTTCGGGAGCCACTTCGAAAAATCGAGTTTTGCAGGGAAAGTTGAATAGTACATACGTGCGTTTTGTTCGGGGGAAGACTGTAGTCTACGCATGGCCTGACCCGGTCTACAATACCCCTCTGTCAGCTGAGGCCATTTACAGATGAAAGTGAACTGGGAGAAGTCTGGTGGGGGAGGGGAGGGTGGAGGGAAGAAGCTTATACCCCTCCTTGGTGGCGAGATAACCCCGAAACACCTTGGCCGTGAGCGGTCCCTGACGCATCGAGTTTTTCAGATCCCGGCTCATCAACCCTACTGATCGGCGGATCAAGGGAACAGCGCCCGAAGTTGGGCACGCTGACTTCCTGCCCTGCCATGGCAGGCCGAGCCGGTCCCAGATTTCTCCTTGTACGTACGGGTTTTCGGCAAGGGAGACCGTCTAGAAGGGCTCGTTGCTTGGGATGAGCAAGTTGCTTTCAGCTGTTGTCCAATCAGTTATCATCCAACACGTCATCTGTCGGACCAGGCGCCCTTGACCGACGCCAAATTTATTCCGCTGTCGCCTCCGGTCTTCCCCGCTCGCCCCAGTCGTCGTTCGTTGTCGGCTCGCCCAGAAGCGAAGGACGTGGTCCCACACTTCCTCACCCACTTTGTCCGCCAGGATTCCTTCGGCGAAACTACCGGAATCGCCTCGGCCCGACATTTTATGGTTCTGTTTGGATGCTCCAAGGGTATCAGTGTGCTGCTGGCTTGGCAACCTCCCCTTCGTCGTTGCAGGGGCTCCGGTCGCGGGCGGAAAGCAGTGGAGCAGAGGAGCAGAGTTTTCCGAGCATTGCATTCTGGCACCATAGCTGCATCTGCTGGACACTGAGCACGCTGCCGCCGCCGCCGCTATCGCCATGAGGGCCCTACTCCCTATCGTTGCCCTTCTCGGGTGTTTCTCGGTCGTTGCGGCGACGGTTGCTTTCGAGGAGAGATTCGATGGTGCGTATTCTGCAGACATTGTTTAGATGTCAAACTCTTGTTTGTTTGTTCCTTGTACCTTTCACTTAAGGCCTCGCTGCACCGCTCACTACATGTACGAAACGCAAACTATGGCGGCGTGCCTCTCCTTGTTCTCGCAAAAGAAGCATTCCTATTTTGTTTTGCGCATTGGTTGAGTTGATCGACGCCCTTATTTGCGTCTCACCGTTGTCTGTTAGGGCCTTTTTCTAGTCGTTCTGTTCTCTGTTTCTGTACTATGCGTTTTCGCCGCCACGTTTCCATTCCACCTGTCCTAAAGTCACTGGTTGTTGCTGCTATGGTTCTTCAGATGCGCGTATGCATCATGTCAAAAAGGTCACAGGTCACATGCAGCTGCCCCCGCGCCTTTTGTGCCACTCAACGTCGTTATTCCCCTCTCTTCACACCTTCCCTTTTGACTCATTTTCTCGTTCGTTTCTGCAAAACAGTTTTGGCTCGGTTAATTGTTTTCGGTTCTCCTGCGTAAGTCTGACATAGCATGTCCTGCAGGTCAGTGCAATTGCTTGTTGTTGTCGACAAGAGAGTGGTGGTTGGAGGTGTGGCTGGGCGAGGATGTCGATGTCGTAGAGCAGCTCAGAAAGATGGAAATTTTAGGGCGAAAGGAGTTAGGTTATCTATGGTGCACTCTGCTGACATGGCCATGGAAGGTGTCAGAATTGCTTCTTTTTTTTTTTTTTTTTTTTTTAATGACCTTTAATGTGTGTTATGGCAATGCGGTGCTGCGTGGTTTTGTTTCACGATAACAGACACATGGGACAAGCGCTGGGTTGTTTCGAGTTGGAAGAAAAGTGAGGGCACTGCTGGTCAGTGGAAACACACTGCCGGCAAGTGGTATGGAGACCCTGAGGAGGACAAAGGTAAAGTAGCCACGTCACCTTCTCGTGTGTCGTTCCTTGTGGCATGTCTTATTATTGTTATGTTATGATCGAACTGCAGGCCTCCTCTTGCAATCTGTAAGAGCTTCTATACTCGCTGTCTGTGGTCCTGTCTTCTCCTCCTGAACTCTCCCCTTCCCTTGATCGTTGCGCTTCCGTGTCATCTTCCTTGCTCTTCGCTGTTTTGCTGCCCCCTTCCCGCCTTTGCCCTATCCTTCTCTCTTTCCCTCGTTCCGAATTTGACTCCTGCCCAAAGCCCTTGTCCCTTCGTGTTTCCCTTTGGCGTCGCCGTAGCCGTGCCCGGGGCGCAGCTGTTCCCCTTCGCTTTCTCGCACCTCGTCTTTGCTCCTCGGTTCGCGTTACCGGTGTCTTCCACTTGTGTTCTTTTCCCACTTACGCTGCCTCCTTGGTCCTGTCGTGGCTTCCCAGTTTCTCCTCTGCTCGTCTCTCTGGGCTTGTTGGTCCGCGTCCTCTCCTTCTTGTCGGTTATTCTCTTGTTTTCCTTTCTCCTCTGTCCCTTCTCTCTTCGTCGTTGCTACATTTGCTCTTGTCGGTTATTGTCTCTTGTTTTTCTCTCTCCTCTGTCCCTTCTCTCTTCGTCATTGCTACATTGACTCTTCTTCGCTATTTCCTCCTATTCGTTCTCTTCGTCGATCTGCGTGTTCTGATTCGTCTCCTAGTTGCTTTTGCTACTTTTCTGATGCGCTTGTCGTCTCTGTCTGCCTCGTCTCCTCTGCTTGTCTGTGTTTTCCCGTTGCCTCCTCGTCGTCGCATTCTGCTCGTCTGCTCGTTGTCCTAAGGCTTGCTGCCGCTCGTCCGCGCGTTGTCTCCTTGCCAGGCCCTTGCCCGCGTTCTCCCACCACTGTTTGATTGTTCTGGACCATCTCCGCTTCTGTTCCGCACGCCGGGGCTCCTGTTGTCCCGCCTGGTTTCGTTGTCCTGCCCCTCTTTCCTGGTTTTCCGTTCCTTGTTTACTGTCGTTGCCGTCCATTATCTTCTGTTCTCCCGTGCCTTATAATTCTTAAGTTCCTTCCCCTGGCCCCCTGGTGTTGTTGCCCCTTGCGTGCTGTTGTTCCTCCCTCTGTCACGGCGTCTACCCTGTTGTGCTACTTGTCTCCTCTTCCAGTATGCCTTTAGTGTCCGTCTCATGTATTCCCTTCTCACGGCGCTTGTTGACATTCGTCTCGCCGCGTGTTCTCTGTGGTTCTGGTCCCTGCACCTTGAACCCGCTCTCCGATCCTGTTCCACCTGTTATCTCCATGGCATTCTCTTCTTCGCGGTGCGCTCGATGCTCGGATCGCTTCGCCTCTCATTCTTTTCCCCTCCCCTCAGCTGCTTCTCCTGCGCTCCTTCTCTGCGCTCACAGTGTTCCCGTTGTGTTGACTTCTCATCCATTTGGTCTTTCTCAGACGAGTTCGACTGTTGCTGTCAGTTCAGTGGACCTATCGTGCTACCGTCTTCACCCGAATAGAACGCCCCGGTCAATATCACTGCATCTAGACTGAAAGTTCCACCAAATAACACATACAATGACCGGGCGTTCTATTGGGTGAAGACGGTAGTCTCGATTGGCGTGTAGGAATTCTCGCGTCGGGTGTGCTTCGCTGAGGAACTCGACTGTGGTCGGAGGAGTGCAGAAGCAAAGATTGCTGCGTTCTAGCGGGAAGCAATGATTATAGCGTAAGCGTGGAAAGCAGCTGCAAATTTGCCTGTTGAGGTAAAGGTCCTCGTCCAGCGCGCAGCGTGTGAGGGCTGAAGACGGCGAGCTGTAGGACTTCGCAGTGCTTTCTGTCTTACAACTCGCATTAGCAATTCCTGCTTCCACGCCAATGGGACCGCCAATGGGACCGCCAACCCCGGCGAGTTGTAGGACTTCGCAGTGCGAGTTGGGAAAGTACCAGGGGGAGTTGCGTGGAGGCAGGAGTTCCTAATGTGAGATCGAGAGAACAGAAAGCCCCGCCGGGGTAGGTGGTTCCATTGGCGGTGGCGTTGTGCTGGCAGTTACTCTTGTTCGCCCGCTGGGCGGTGACATTGAGGCGCTAAAACTCGTGTGATCGACCGCGAGGATCCGGTGATGATGTCCTCTTCTTGAGTGCTACTAGCCCACGGACTGTGCACAATACATGCCTGTTAACGAGTCTCTGGGCTTCGGCTTCTGGACTGTAGATACTATAATGTACAGGATTGGCAATGGCTTCCCCGTCCCGCTAAGCAATCATCACGTCCCCGTAAGTACTATATCTACCGATCGAAGCAATCCTCTGTGCTTTTGTCGAACGCAGCGGCCGATCATTGTATCGTACATCTGTATTTGCACGGAAGTCACTGAATAGAGCCCTGGTTCTAAGTCGAGGGTATTGGCCGTCAGGGTTGCCCTGTTTTAGGGTTTGGAAAGATGAGCATGCATGCAGCGCCCGGTAACGAGGGGGGGGGAGGGGAGGGGAAGTGGATCAACTGACATGGTATTCGGGGGAAGACGGTAGGGTTGCGTCGTCGTCTTACAGTAGGTTCGCGCTGCGGGAATCGAAACAAAGCCGTTGCATCGAATACCGTCTACCGCCTAATGCAAATCACGGTCATCATCATGACTGTATAGGACCACAAAGCTTAGCGTGTATGCATTTGTGACAACATTGGTGTATGTTAGGCGGAAGACGGTAATGTCAAGCTCTACGGTGCGTTAAATGAGTGGGGACGCGTGCTCTCATGTTCTAGGGTTAAGTAGTCGTCCGGTATCGGATACACATTGTAGAAATCGGAACGGAGGAAGAGGTGTATTGCAGCTTGGTGCTGTGAACCACAAAACGGAGGCGTGAAATCTTGGTCGGTATCAGGTCCTTTTTGTATCTTTTGTCGTCTTAGCCCATGGAGGGTGAAGAAAGACGAGTAGTATCAGGTCCTTTTTGTATCTTTGGTCGTCTTAGCCCATGGAGGGTGAAGAACGACAAGCACAGGGTGAAGATATCCTATCCTTTGGGCAACCGTTGACGAATCGCCTGACCGAAGCATTAAAATTTAGTTGTTACAAAAAAACAAAGGAAAGAGGCCGGGGGCCTGGGCCTCGCATAATTCGGTCCTTACAGTTTGGAATGGGGTTTTCGTTCTCTGTTGCAAAGAGTCGAGGGTATTAACAATATAGGGATCGGGCGGAGGACAAAGAGTCAAGTGCCACCTCTCCGCGCGCTCTATGCAATTGTGGATCGTCAGTTGGGTAGAGTGCGCGGAGAGGTGGCACTTGACTCTTTGTCCTCGTCGTTGCCCTGCTGTTCTCTCGAAAGGAGAAGTGTGGAAAGGTGAATAAGGTAGAAACACATTCAAGATGTGAAAACGAAGAACGGAAACCCCATGGCCGAAATGTAAGGATCGAATTGTGTGAGGTGCCCGGCCTCTTGCCTGTCCTTTGTTTGTTTTATAACAAAGAAAAAAATTCCGTGCTTTCCACAACAAAGAAAACAAAAGGAAAAAATGCAGGGATCGGGCGCTATCGTTGCATTCGTCCACCTTAAACCACCAGTACTTCCTCAAGTCGTGCACGTTAACAAGCCAGGATTTTAGGAAATGTACGGGCCACTATAGGAGCGCCCAAATTCATCCCAGTAGAAACGTTTCTACTCTAGTTTTCCCTACGGCCAATAGCTGGGCCAAGTACTGGTGGTTTAAGAATGCGTTTCAAGATTTAGTATTGAAGGAAGGCAGTGTGTCATGAACACGATCCAGCGTGATTGTCATCGGTATAGAGAAAGTATCATTTGAGAGTGAGAGCGTTGGTATTTGAGTATGACCCCTTTGGGCATTTGACTTCAACGTTCCTGGCCGCAATTTCGGCGACTTGTGAACCGAAATCGTCGTGTCCTACTTGTGGGAGGAACCCGAGCCCTGGCGGCGATTTCCGGTCAAGAAGCGCCGAAATTAAGGTTAAATGCTTTATAAGGAGTAGTAAACATGCTGCGTGACATGATTGAGGGCCGTTATCTCTACGGCGGCTGATTGCTGATGAGTGTGCGATGGTGTTTGTTGCTTCCTCGGAAAAAGAACACCGCCGAAATCGTGGCGACGAACGTCAAAGCTAGATGCCCAACGGACTAATATTATGCTGTTGTGTGATATGATGAGGACCTTTACCTCTACGGCGGCTGATTGCTGATGATCGTGCAAATAACGTGTTTGGTATATGCTGCGTGATATGATGAGGACCTTTACCTCTACGGCGGCTGATTGCTAACGAGTGTGCAATGGTGTTTGTTTCTTTCTTGGAAAAAAAACAGCCGAAATTGCGGCCACGAACGTCAAAGCTAGATACCCAACAAGTAATATAATAAATATGCTGATGTGTGATATGACGAGGACCTTTACCTCTACGGCGGCTGATTGCTGATGATCGTGCAAATAACGTGTTTGTTTCTTTCTGTGGTGGTAATAACAGGTATCCAGACTACGCCGGACGCTCGGTTTTTCGCGATTTCGGCCGGTTTCCCCGAATTTAGCAATAAGGGGAAGACACTTGTTCTTCAGTTCTCGGTAAAGCATGAGCAGGATATTGACTGCGGGGGTGGTTACGTTAAGCTCCTTCCCGATGGGGGTGATATGGCTAGCTTCGGAGGCGATACGCCATACAGGTGGGTGGGTGTTTTTTTTTTTTTTTTGAGATATCGATTCCAAACCAAAGTTCCAACTAAACCACGCGCCAGTTAAATATTTTTTGAGGTTCAATTTCATTACCACTTCGGCGGTTTCCTGCTGATTGTTACGTATTTGGAATTTAGAATTTTGTCGTCGTGCAGTTCTTCTCGATTTTATTTTATTTCTCGATTTTATTGTATTTTGTGACTTATTTCGTTGATACATAAGGGCTGGAGTGGAAGACATGTTGTTATGGCGAGATCAGATCCAGATGCAGAAATCTGTCGCGGCGGAATTATTCCCTCACGCAGGTGGGACAGGGTATAGAGGTTTTGTGAGAGACCCAGGGAGGGTAGTAATGCCTCCGTCAGTCTCTTCGTGAATGGTAAATTGTTCGCGGCCGCCGCTACGACGTGGGTGATTCTGCCTGCGTGCAGCGTGCTTGAGATGCCTGCCTGCGTGCAGCTTGCTTGAGATGCCTGCCTGCGTGTGCAGCTTGCTTGAGATGCCTGCCAAGCTGATGTCTGCCTGCGTGCAGCTTGAGATGCCTGCCTGCGTGCAGGTTGAAAAAGATAGGCTTGTGAGTGTCTGTGGGTGGGACGGTAGGTTAGCAGCTTACGTATTTGGTTACTGAAAAGGGGCGTTTTGACTTGGTGTGATTGACGTGCAGCATCATGTTCGGGCCAGACATCTGCGGCTCGTCGACGAAAAGGGTCCACGCTATTATCACCTATAAGGGGAAGAATCACCTGATCAAAAAGGACGTGAAGTGCGAGACCGATCAGTTGACACATGTCTATACTTTCATCATTCGACCAGATAACACATACAGCATCCTGATTGACAATGTGGAGAAGTCTTCCGGCAGCTTGTATGATGACTGGGACTTCCTGCCGCCATCCAAGATCAAGGACCCGTCCGCTAAGAAGGTAAGCGCTGGAGGCTTGGCACTTTGATTATGTACGATTATTTATGTATATGTATCCGGTTCCTGTTCGTGTCTATATGGCGGTTGAAACCTGGGTACTTGAAAAAAAAAGGTTAGATCATTTACTTATTGAGGGAGAGAGRGGGGGGGGGGGGGGGGRGAGGGGGTTATATGCTCATGTCATCCTGACGTATTTCCCCTCTGTTGTAGGAGGGGACGGCATGTGAATACATATATCGACGAAGTCGATGATGTCTTGTTGACCCCTTCGGACAGTATGTGTCGGGTAAATGGAATTGTATGCTTATCTATACATTCCATCCATCTATACATCCATCCTCTCCTTGGACTGGAGGGTTGAAATCACTGTTATCTTTGCTTGCAAGTGGGCTTGTTGCTGTCTCAGCTGGCATTTTAAAACATTTGGTAGTGCGGTTTGCTTATTTTCTCTCGCTTATTGTGTCTTTTGCGGATAACAAGGACGTCAACGACCCCAGGATAGAAACCAAAACTCCATCGATAGAGCATTCTCAAACATCATGAGTGCCTCCCTGTTGCCCCACATACAATTTCGCGGAAGTGAACAAAATAATAGCGATCAGCTATCTAAGAGGTGGCAATGTCTCCGCTCAGTAGCAATGTCTCCGCTCAGTCTTATCCCTATAGTAATGGAGGTGGAAGAGGGATCATATATTATTATTACTTCATCCCCTCAAGATCGATGTGGAAGTCGGAAAACGACTTATATGAAGCAAAGCACGGGAATGTTTTGTAAAAATAGGCCCCCGATTATCTATGCTGTGCTTTTTGAGCAGGAAGAAGGGGGTAATGAAGGGGACTGAGGGTAAAAGTTTCGGTTTCGTTTGTTTATTATGGGTCTATTTTCATAATGTCGGAGTCGGTGTTAAGGAGTCTGTAACGTCGTTGAGTGGCTGAGGTCTGTGAAGATCGATCTATATATATAGCGCTGAGTGTGGTTTAGATTACCGGTCGCACCTGGAGGTTCTGCCATATCGCAATGTGTTAGTGGCTTGATGACTCTGATGATGAGTAAAAGGAGTGTCTAATCATGTTTCCCTGTTGAAATGCCGTTGTGCTGCAGCCAGAGGACTGGGTGGATGAAGAGTACATGGACGATCCCGAAGATAAGAAGCCTGAGGTAAGGAACGGAAAACCCGTTTGCAAAGTCTGTATTTCCTTTTTTTTTTTTTTTTTTTTTTTGAGGGTTAGAAAGAAGAATGTTGAAGGAAGAAACCAATCATGGAGAAAGGCGATGAGTTGTAGAACCCGCTTGGGAAGATCATCCATAGTGAGACTGGCGATCGGGTCGCGAGGGGAGTGTAATTAACTGAGAATCTATTTGCACGTCTAGACATCTGAATTACACCATAGGAAGCGTTAGGTGCAAATTCATTCACGAAGAGGTGATTCTGATATCTTTCATGCAGAGGTGATTATCTATCTGAGACTACGACTGGAATTTCACTGTTGCTCATTTCAATTAGCATTGTGTATGGAAGTCTTATAGCATGGCATGTGGAGTTGTCATCATGCACGACGTGTATTTGTAATCAACGTATTGCATGTGACATAATAAGTAAATTAAATATGTCCCTGCTGATGTTAGCTTGCAGAGCTTTTTCGCATTACGGTCTTCATTATGTCCATTCCTGTTCCTGTCACGTGGTCCTGCAATTTTTTTTTTTTTTTTTTTTTTTTTGCCGATAACTTTTCGAGTGATCGACATGATCTGTCCTCGAGTCGTTTTTTGGTTGTTGTCTTTGGTTCACCAAAACGACTCTTACTATGGCTGGAAATGGGGTCCAGTGTCACTACATCAGAACCTGCCTTCCGCCTCGATGAATAGTTGTTTTCATTTCTTTGTTTTGGTTATACATACAACGCGGCAGTGCGTTCACATTGGACGTTTGCTAGGGAGTCGTATATTCTGGTTTGCAATTCAAAAGGTCAGGTTCGGCCAGCCGGCGTGGGAAAGATGGAAGGAAATGACTTGTTCTTCGAAGTGACCGGCTTACCTTGGCGCAAAGTGGCTGCTGCCACAATCTACTGGAATTTGAAAGCTAATTGGAATGGAAATGGAAGGAAACGACTTTTTTTTTGAAATTACGGACTTAACTTGGCCACAAATTCCCTTGGCACAAATTGACTGCTCCCGCAGTATCCTATACTAAGAAAGTCTACGGCAGTTGTTGTGGATGCACATTGAGGAGGCGTCAATCAGATCGTTGAAGAGGTCAGGAGGTTGACAGATGCCTTGCCTTGCCTGGCTGCGGGTTTCAGGAATATAGATGTATTAGTATAATCGTTTAAACGACCAGTACACTTCTTAAAGTCGTGCCAGTTAACAAGCCACGGTTTGAGGAAACGTACGGGCCACTTCAGGAGTGTGACGCACATGCAGGAGGGTACGTGCGGAGATGGTGTGAGAGAGAGAGAGAGGAGAGGAGATGGACACACGAGAAGCAGCAGCTGAGTGAATGTCCAGTCCGACCGAATGCACGAACAATCCAAAGAATGAATGAACCAACCTCCCCCGACCTGGGCCTAGGCCTAAGTGATATACCGGCCTAGGTCCAGGTACAGGAACGGTTTGGTACCGGACCAGGGTCAGGCCGATGGCCTGAAACTGGCCCGGCCTTGTTGCTGGGCCGTAGGGGTACCGATACAAGGAGAGCCCAAATTCTTCCAAGTAGAAACGTTTAAGAGCAGGGCCGAGAGCTGGGCCAAGGAATGGTGGGGTTTAAGAGCAGCTCTGCTGTGCAACCTACGGGTGCCATGCACTTCTTGCTGCACTCTCTTTTTTTCCTGTTGCTTCGTTTGCATGGCAGAGGCATCGGCAGGATTTGAGTGACTGATAATGTTGAGATGGTTGAAGTGGAGGTGGAAGTCGAGAGAATGGTGTTGGTGCTTGCTTCTTTTCTATGTAGGGAGCTCGAGAAAAGTGTCGTGAAGGAACCGTACGTGCTAACTATCACAGATGCTGACGCTTGCTTCTTTTTTTCTCTGCAGGGATGGGATGACATTCCGAAGGAGATTGTGGATCCAGAGGCAACGAAGGTACTGATCTAAATTCATCGATGTTTTGTTTTTTCCCCTCTTGAAGTCTGAAATGCTGAAATATCGGTCTCTTCTTAAGCTTTCAGGAAAAAAAAATGGCCTGTTGATGATTTTGAACGATGAAGGTGAGAAACGGACTTGTACAGTGCACTGTGATGAGATGTGGGAGAGGCGAGAAACGGACTTGTACAGTGCACTGTGATGAGATGTGGGAGCAATTGGAAGCTGAGAACTGTGAAACTTGTTATGCTGAAACGTTTGTCATATGCCCTTTCCATTTTTCAAAGAGGCATATCCTCTGTGACCCTGTTGCATGTATCTATCTGTGTCTGTCAGGATTCTAACGCATAACCCAGTTCATTATTGTAGTATAATTATATCCAATTGTATCAGGGTGTCAGTAAAGCCACATGGGTTGGTTGTCGTTCCGTCTTTCAGTTTCTCAAAGAACTATCTGTCGATGGCACTCGAAAAGAGGATTAATGAAAATGATACGAGAATTTGAGAAATGTTTTTTTCTTTTTTCCTTTTTATTTGCACAGTCTTCTGTCCTGGATGCATTGCATGCACCATTAGTTGATGATTGACTGTTGCTTTGCATTTGTTTTGGTGATGAAATGTGGTGCGGTTGTCTATGCTTCAGCCGGAGGACTGGGATGAGAGCGAGGATGGAGAGTGGGAGGCTCCTAGAATCCCGAATCCCGACTACAAGGGCGAGTGGACTCCCAAGGTGGGTACTTGGTTATCACGATTTTGATGTTCCTTTTGTAAAGGCGTAAGCCTTGATATGTCAGTCTACATCGCAACGGCGTAAGCCTGGATATGTCAGTCTACATTGCGAGGGCGTAAGCCTTGATATGTCAGTCTGCAGTGGGAGTGGGTTAGGATTGTACTGTGCACCGGTTATTAACGGGAGAAGGCAAATGAGTCCAGATGTTGTGCTTTGAAGAAGAGTCTATCAATGTCAGTTTACATCGCAAAGGCGTAAGCCTGGATATGTCAGTCTACATTGCAAAGGCGTAAGCCTTGATATGTCAGTCTGCAGCGGGTCTGGGTTAGGATTGTACTGTGCACCGGTTATTAACGGGAAAAGGCAAATGAGTCCAGATGTTGTGCTTTGAAGAAGTCTTTGACAGCCAATCAATCGTTGGTTGGGGGACTCTAGTAATTATGAAATGCTGATGTCTGTTCTGTACGTAACATCCTTAACAGGAACAAATTGTAAGGGAACTGTTTGTCGAAGGGAAAATGGAGGATATGGCATGGGTTGCTTAATTGTTTGACCTGGAGGGTCCTGACAGTGGCAGATTTCGTCTCAATTGACATGCCTGAAGTTGGAGTAATTAACGCATGGGATGTTGGCTTTGGAGGGGCTGCAGTAGTAAATAAAATTGGAATGAAGTGGTTTGGGTTAATTAACGAAGGAAAGGAATGAGATTTTGTCGCTCATCTGATTTGTTTGAAGTGTGTTGGGAAAGAGCAAGGAATGGGATTTTGTCCTCTTATTTGCTAGAGGCGTGTTGGGAGTTGCAGTAAATCATTGAATGATGCTGAAAGAACCGTGTCTGATGGGATGTTCTCCGTGGTGTGCAGAGGATCAAGAATCCTGCTTACAAGGGCAAATGGTCGGCGCCTTTGATCGAGAACCCTGGTGAGTATGTGGACGGGTTAATTTCGACATCTAGTCTTGTTGTGTGTATGTATGATAAATTGAATCTTCTGGGATGTATTGTTGTGTGTATGTATGATAAAGAATCTTGTCGTGTATTGAAGGGAACAAGCAATTGGTGAGTTGTTATGCCGTTTCTGGTGCAAGGCTTGTGTAAACTGGCGTCTCTGCTATCTCAGTGGTCCATCGACAGGGGGATTTATTGATGAGGGTAAGGGGCACTAACGGCCTTCCTTCCCCAAATATAGGCTGGTGATTATGTCTGTGTCAAGTGCGAGTATATTTGATAGTGACTGGGTGTTGTGTTTTGGACTACAAAATAGTGGTTTCTTGTTTGAAATAATCGAAACACATCAAAATGGTGCTGGCAGTACCTGACAATAGAAACACTTGACAGGAATAGGTTAAATTATCTAATGATTAGATTATTATAAGGCAGATTAGCAGTGGTTAAATGATTATTGATCGGCAATAGAATTGTCATCAAAACACTTGGTAAACCCAACCATCGCACATTACGCACTTATGGTGGATAATCTCATCTCCTTTTGAAGTGCTCAAAATCACTCCATAGATAAGTAGCAATAAGATAGTGGCACTTACAAGAAAAGTTTCTGGAAAGATGGCTGTGTTTGTCATTGTGTATCATCTGGGAGGCAGTGAAATTGTTCTCTAATGAACTGTTCAATCTCTGTGTGGACTATCTGCAGACTTTGTCAACGACAGTGAGGTTTACGTGCTCCCGCCATTGAAGTATGTCGGCATAGAGCTCTGGCAGGTGAGACTCAGTATTTCTCTCGCTTTGTGAATTGAAATTTCGCTCGTAGGTTCAGCAATGCCTTGTTTTGCATGCTTGAGGCTGTGTCATAATGTTGCTCATGTCAGGGCAATTTACGATTACAGGTCGAAGGCACAGAAATTAAGTTCTTCAGGTTGCTGGAGGCTGCTGCATGTATGAGACCTGGGGTAGTTTCTCCTTTGCTTAGAGGAAAGGGCGCTGGGTTTATGCTTTGGGGATGTTGAAGTACATGCTTGTTTGTTTGACTTGTTGGACATTGGTTTTGAAGCGATCAACTGTTGATGTCAATTGTTCTCATTTGCACTGGAACCTTGGTTACTGGAATGGCGCGGGACTACTTGCCCGACCGGGCCAAAAAAAAAAAGTCGAAAAAAAAATCAACCTAAGTTTTTATTTTTTATTTGGTAAAAAGTTTTGATGTGACTCCTGAGGCAAAAGTTGTGCACGCTATTTTTCTGCATAACGTAGTCTTTTTTGAAGTTTTTTTAAGCTATATATATATTTTTTTTAATTTGCTTGGACCTACTTTGGCCCTTGCACGACCGGGCCGCCTGGGCAAACAAGGTCACCCGGGCAGCCCGGCTGGTAGCCTAGACTGGAACATGACGTAACAACGTAATAATAACAAAGCACATCTTGACTCTAGTTTGGGCCTTGTGTGATCATATTGTTTGCAGGTGAAATCAGGCACTATCTTTGACAATATTCTCGTCACTGATGATGCCGACTACGCCAAGAAGTTTGCTGAGGATACGTGGGGCAAGAACAAGGATGTAAGTACTGTACGATGTCTAAGTGGAGGAGCTATATATGTTGTTTCATTCCACTGGGAAATGTTGAAGCTGCTGTCAATGGAACCCAGAACTTCGGATTCCAGGGCAACTCCAGCGGGGAAGGTCTACTTGTAAATTATTTGCATTCTATGGTGGATAGAAGTTAGAATCTTTGTTCCACTCCAAGGGGGCAATCTTCATCTGTCTTGCCTTTGTGAAGCAGGTCTGTATTCAGGCGTGCGTCTTCAAGTCAGGATTCGGGAGGGAGGGTATGTCGAGTTGATTCAGATTTGAAGTCAGGGTCTAGAAAGGAGGGGATGTTGAGTTAAATGAGAGTTTAAATCATGGGAGGGTATGTTGAGTTGAATCAGATTTCAAATCAGGGTTTTGAAATCGTGGTTCAAGAAAGGAGGGGATGTCGAGTTAAATCGGATTTGAAATCAGGGTCTAGAAAGGAGGGGATGTTGAGTTAAACCATTAGTTAGTACCTTTGTCGTTCAGGAAAAGAGCGGGCCTCCGACCTTTTAGGAGGTTGAAATGAATTGACGGCTGCTGATTATCAATGGCAGCTGTCGTTGGGCCCGGCCTCCGAATTCTTCGGGAACAGGCGTTTTCCCTTGTTTCTGAAGTGGCGAAGGTACTAGTGGCTTAAACCGGAGTTTCAAGAAATGCTGTAGTTCTTTTTAAGCTTAGGGCGTGTTCTAGAGGAGTAAGGTGGTGCATCTTGGGCGCGCGATTGCTGCTTGGTTGCTGTGCTGTGAGTTGTCCTCTGTCAATTGAGGAGATAGAGAATCATTGTTGCTTGCAATCACTGCAAGGTAATGTGCAATCTTTTTCCATAAATGACATCTGAGTGCGTGTGATTTGTTTGTTGGTTGGTATGCAGGGTGAGAAGAAGATGTATGATGAGGACAAGAAGGCCGAGGAAGAGAAACTCGAGGTAATTCCGTACTCATAAGCAGTGTTGTGGCTTTCTGTGTACAGAAGTTGCTTCTTGTTGATATGTAAGTTAATGTGAGCTGTGACCTGACAGGCTGTTCTTTCCCAAACGCCACCTTTTTTTCATCATAGAAATTGATTTGTGCGGCAGAAATTGTGTTTCTGGTATGAAAAAAAAATAGAAACAGCACTGTGGGCCTCACTGCACTACTCTCGAAATGTGCAAAACGAGGGTGAATCTTCTGCTAGAAGATGGAAAGATAGGCCGCCATGAATTTTGTCTTTTGTGAATTTTAAGAGTAGTGCAGCGAGGCCCTGTGTATATGCTGTTATGCATATATTCTGTGAATTTCAAGAGTAGTGCAGCGAGGCCCTGTGTATATGCTGTTATGCATATATTCTGTGAATTTCAAGAGTAGTGCAGCGAGGCCCTGTGTATATGCTGTTTTGGATATGCATAGGGAACGGCGATCAATTTCTTGCATCGACTCCTTGGTCGACGACCGCTACCATCGTCCCCTGAACATAACGCATATGCGTTGTAAATGAATACAACGTATATGTCGTTTTCTATTTGAATGCAATGCATGTATTCCGTACTTGCAAGCGGACGCCGTCCGGGCGGTTCCGCACGTGCGGCAGACCACCGGACCGGACCCGTGCGGCGCACGAATGTGCGCCCGACGACCAGTT